AAAAAAAAAAAAAAGCGGGGGTGGGGGGGGATGGAATAAAGCAGGAGGAGGCTGGAGGTTCCCGAGGCAGGCAGCAGCTCTGGCAGCAGGCGGCCCTGGGTGTGCGCGGCCGGGCCAGGCCAGCAGATGGTGGTGCGAGAGCTGTTATTTAAATACATGCTTCTTCCAGTGGTTACACCTCTAGATTTACTTCGGGAAGCTTGAAAAATATGAACTATGTAGATAAATATTTAGCATGTATGACATTCACAGCAGGGCTCTGTGTATTGTCCATCCCGCTGGCTATATTAACAGGCTGTAAAATCTAGCTCAAGAACTGAATCTCCCATCAGAACTAATCCTGTAACTTCTATTTACTGCCTACAGCATTCAAGTAGACCCAAGGATAAAACAGCGCTCCAGGGATACAGAACAATCTTTTTTCTGTCATAACTTATTCTTACAAAGAAGAAAAACTTGTACACCTTTGAGGACACGTTAATTAGAAAATATTGAAACAAAATCCACAAGCATCAGTTACAGAAATTACACTCAGTTAAATTGTATTTATACTAGAAAGCAAGTAATTTGTTGCAAAATTAAGATAGCTGTCTGGAAAGCTTAGTTCCAAAGAGTGACTGCAAGGATCGTCTGGGTACAAGCCAAGACAGACTAGTTACTCGTACCGATCTGCAGCATGAGAATTCCTCTGTGTGTCTCAGCCTATCGAAAGAAATTGAAAAAAATAAAGTCTGTTGCAAAAAATCCTCACACAGACCACCTATGCTACGTGGCTGTTCTGCAGGTTCTCCTGTTGCACTTAATCCCACTGCTAATAAATTTTAAATAATTAAACTCATGTTCTCAGCAGTTTCAATTTATGTCTCTGTGTATCACAGCTACCAGGCCCTCTGGGCCGTCGTATCTCCCTACAGCAGTGACCTTCAGCTGATACCAGCCCGCAGCCCAGAGCGGTATGCTGTAAAACTCTCCGCATACTTCCTGCTAGACCTCAATGCTGAAGATTTGTTAGTGTTGGCAACAGCCTAAGAGCTGCTCTTGTGCAATGCTTTATTGTGTTTGTCTCCATTTTCCACCAGCCTTGCTAAAATAATTCCTTCTCTAACTTCATTGCATATGCTTTAAGATTCCTACCAATTTTCTCTCACACACATGGCTATGGACTGTCCTTTTCAGTCCCATCCACAAAGAGGACAATTCCAGGAGCAAAAATTCCTGTCTTCCTTCCCCCCTTTGGAAAGCATCTAGGAAGCTCCCAAACCTTCCCTGCCAGGAGAGGGGGAAGGGTTGCGTGACGCCGAGCCACAGCTTTGGCCCACTGTGCCCCATCCATCACTTCCTAGAAGCACAGCGCTATTAAAACAATAGCAGGGACTCCATCCAACAACCGTCGCTCCTGGAAAGGATTACAGAGAGAGCCAGCAGAGCCATGTAACTTAGCATTTTTGATAGCAGCCTCCCTCGCTCCTTCTTCACCTCCAGGCACACACAGCGTCGCCCGGGGCTCACCTCCGAGGGCACGTGACAAGATCTGAAATCCTTCAAGATTATCTTCTGCATGGCAGGCGAGAACTGGACACGTGGAAGATCATTCCAGACGTGGAGGGAAAGGAAAGGGTCGGGAGGAGTGGATGAACAAAATAACAGCCTGGCAGCATGCAATTTGACAGTTTCCTTTCTAGCGTTCAGTTTGCAGCCCCACAGGCACACTAACTAGCTCTTTCCAAACAAGGCAGTTCACATGTAACTAATCACTAGTTATTTAGATTAAAGGGCCGCTGGATTGGGCCAAAATGCTGACAAATAAAACAATATAAAAATTAGTAGCACTGGCCAACCCATTCAACCTTTTGGTTTCACTTTATTAACAAATATCTATATTGCAAGAACAAGTATATATTCATATAAGGAAAGCTAAGTAAATATTCTCTAAGCTAAGAACTCATATATTCTATAAAGTCTTTAAGTCACAGTATTTAATATGAGCTTAATTTACATTTGGATGTTGCAAAGATAACCCAAAGTTATCGTGATGCATCCTTAGTTAATCTTCGGTATTTAAATGGATTTTGAGATTCGATTTGTGTTACTTGGATTAACATAACACAAAATGTTCCAAGAGACAATTAAAAAACTGCAGGAAAACTGAGCACTCATGGTAGAGATGCATGTTAAAATTCCAAGCAATGTACCGGAAATAATTTTTTTTTTTAAACCTTTTAAATTCCAAATTTGACCAACCAGTGCTTTCCTGTAGCTGTACAACAATCTTTCGGGTTTTCTTCTTCGGGTATCCTGCTAGTAGAAAAATCAACTTCCCTATCTACACAAAACCATAAGTGTGTGCAATTAGGGTGTCAAATTCAAATTTGCATTTTAAGCTTTCTTTTTAAAAAAGCACAATGACAAATTGGAAAGCATAACTATATTAAAATGATTACTAAAAAGCTCTCTTCACCCCAAATGAATGGGAATCACACACTTAAATTATTTTTGTAAGTAATTAGACCAAACTTTAAAGAGGCCCAGACTAGATGCTGATAGTGACAATACCCCTAGTAAAGTTGCTTATTTTAAACACAAACCATCATTCATTATCTCATGCTCTCTGATCACTTCTGAAATAAGATAGCGTATGATGCAATGTACCCAGGACTGATGATGGAGGAGGTAACAGAACACAATGTTATTTTTAGCCTTACTCTGAAATTAAAGATGTTGACAGAGTCTGGATGTCTGCCCAACAGGCACAGTGCTGCTGGTTCCTTCAAACGGACAGAAAACCAAAAAAGATGGGAACACCTACCAAAGTGCACTAAGGGCAGAACCCAAGTTTTGCACTTCATTCCAGCATGGCTCCCATTCAGGACAAACTACGCTCCACAGTTTCACCACTCCCATTTAAAATCTGCAGAAGGACCAGAAAGGCAAGAAAAATTTCTTTCTTTCTATGCATTTCTTCAAGAGTCAAGCTCTGTGGGAAGTGAAGGAACTCTTCATCTCTCTCTTTTTTTTAAGTGCCTGCTAGCCTGCAGTATAGTCATCTTCAAAAACAATTCCGACACGGTGCTGCTCTGCTGACTTGGACAGCAGCATCACTGGACTCTGCCAAAGGCAGCTGGTTAAGGGGAGAAATAAAGCAGCTATGAGCTCTGTTCCCAAACAGAAATCTAGATATTAAACGTACGCTGTGAAAGCTCCTTGCAGTGACAGCACAATACACCTTCTGTATGGGAGAAGGTGCCAAGGAGGCCCAACTTGCAACCCATGTTTCCACAGAAACTGGGGCATGTTTAGGCACTACTAACGCTAACTGATTGGGTGAAGGAAAGTCAGTTTTCTCTTTTCAGTGCATTTCAAACTAAGTAATCTTTGCAAGCCAATGTACTGGATGCACGAACTCTCGCAGTGAAATATATTGCCCTTGGAACCAAAAGAACCAAAACAAAGTTTTGAAAGCTTCCATCAAAATGAGGTCACTAAAATATTTGAAAGAAGAGTTTCAACTTGCAAAAATCTACTTTTTGACTAGTTAAACAGAAAACCACTGGTTGGCAAACCAGGCCCAACTTGTTGGCAGAGAAGGCCACTGCAGAAGAGAGAATAAGTAGTTTGATAATATCCAGCATGTGCTTTAGAGTTACTGAGCTGAATTTTATTAGAAATGACACCAAGAAGGTTATGAACTGCTGTGAAGAAGAAAAGAGAGTCATATTTTCTTTGACCACAGAGTCTTGTATATGATCCCAGAGTCTCCAGGACCTGTACTGTGTACCCCTCCTTCTCTAGCACCATTTATTTAGAGGTCCACTCAAATGGGAAAGGAAACGAAGAGATTTGTTCGTTGCTACAGAACATCCTCTAAAACCTGTATGAATAAGTAATCCTTAATCTTGCAATTAATATGTTCACTCCTGCCTGAAATTAATGCTTGGGGTTTTGTAGCCATTCAAATCAGGCAGTTTTTATTATTGGAGCTTTTAATATAAAAAGATTAAATTTTATCATAAAAGCAGTTACTTGGTGTAGTTCTAGGTCTCTACACAGTGACAAAACCCAGCAATCACTGAATTGTCTGGACTCAACATGTAACCCTAAAGGAAAGAACAGCAGCCCCGGAATGCTGGTTCCTTCTGTCCACGTATGTGAACACGTGTACCTTCGAGGGTTGGGGGCAGAGAGGAGGCAGCTTTCACACAATTCCCTCATCTAAAAAAAAGTATCTAAAACACTTACGGCCCCCCAAATTTAAAACTGTTCTGTTAAACACTGCCTACTTTCAGACAATTAATTTCGAAGGGCACTACTAGTTAGTCACTGTCAAGTATGTGAACATACCTGAGCAAGACTTTAAATGCTTAGGCGATTTTTTTAATACAAAGACAGCTAATGTTATTTTACTGTGTCATGCATCAAAGAAGGCAAAATAAGAATAATATAACTGGACAGTCCAGCATATGACAACATAGATTATCAGCCCACCTGATGAGAATCAGCAAACTAAACAATGCACCCCCCACACTCCCCCCAAAAGACAAACAAGGTATTGAACTAACAAAAAACTACCATTAATAAAGAACATACGAAGCTTCACGGCTAAGTAAATACTCAGTTGTTACACAAATCACTAAAACACCTAAGTTCCAACAGCAAAAACCAAACAGATGGTAAGATAAAATGTAGCTACCAGATGCAAATGTACAGAATAGGGGAGAGGAGATTATGCTTCCTCAGTCCCTTCTAATTAGCCATGCCAGCTATAATGGATGTGCTCCACACTCTGGGATGCAGTATCAGGCACACAATCCAATCCCTGTAAGTCTCCCCATCTACTCCATAACTAGCATGATAACGTAAGCCTTTTCTTTAAGTTTTCTGTCCTTCTAATCAGTCTCTTAAGAACACTTTCATTTAATTCCTGCCTTTGGTGTTTGTGGAGCTTTGTAGGCTGTAGAGCTTATACTCCACTCAGCTAATATTGAGCATATGAAGCTTCTTACCTCCAATATTCTGGATAATGATTGTAGTTGCAACAAGGACCTATAAAAAAAATTTATTTCTTTAGAAGGGTAAGGATAACTAAAATCGTATGCCTATAGCAGGCATAAAACACATATGTATTATCTTAAACAGACCAGATGTAGAAGCGATAACTAGCACTGAAAGGAAGGGCATCTTCTCCTTACTAAAAAGTTTAACACATGGAAACCAACGCAATCGAAAAGTAATACAAAAAGCAGAAAATCCTTGAAAATACTGCATTTTCATTGTGAGATGACAAAAGAAGGTAAGGTGTAGAGTGAAGCCTGTTCTGCAAAAGAGGATTTTAAATCACTGAAAACATAAGTGCATGCTCATTGACGTCCGGTGAGTACTAATGAAAACTATCGTTCACCTAGGAAAAGACAATTAGAAGAGATTTGTACAAGCTACTTCCTCACTTCAAAAACCCGAATATTTTTGACTGTCATAAATGTCATTATTCTTTTAAACTTGTAAACTAGATAGGCTTTTCTTTAGCATTTGTGATTATTCATACTGGACTGATACGGAAGTGGAAACGATCACAGGCTATTAAAATATTTGTCTGAATCCAAAGAATTAACTTCTAACTAAAGAAAGCCTAAAAGTGTGTAAAGTCTTCCCAGTGTTTTCTTTTCAGTTCAGTTCTAAAATAGTATGATCATCTAGTACAGTTTTGCTTTTTACCCACTGCTCTTCTTGATGTAGTAGGACCTTCCTACACAATTGCTACCATCAAGTCAACTTGGAAAAAATTAAGCCACTATTATGAGAAGAAAACCAGATTTGTACTTTTGAATAAAATCTGAAAGCAGAGTTGCCATTTTTTCAACTGATCAGCTAGAAAAATCGTATCAAATTTTAAATAACTTCAAAGTCAGTTCAAAAGTCACCGGGGGGGGAGGGGGGAAGTAGTATGGTATCGTGGAATTTGCCATAGATGGAAACAAATACTTCATGCCTTTGGAAAGGGAGAATCAGCAATCTTCCAACAGCAGAAAATCTCCATTCCCACAAATCTCAGAAAAATGTTTGTCAGGAAATCATCATAAGGTTGAATAACTGCTCTACTTCAAAAGCAGTTAACCAGTAGTTTACTGTCAACCTAAGATGCCAGTTCAAGCACAGTCCTACAGTGGTCTGTCTGTATCATCAGCAAGTGACTCAGGTGAGGGAAGAGCAAGTACTAAAGAAAAAAGAAAAAGCCACCTGTGCCTGACTGAAGCAAGAAGCATTCAGGAACAGCACTAGAATTCAGAGTGGTTGTGGTAAACAAAGTCTAAAAATCAGCAAGATCAGTTAGAAGCAATATGTTCAGGAAGTAGATCTAAAATATATGACCGAGTTATTAGATTGAAAGTAGAGAAAATAGTTTGAGATAACACAATCAGTAGCATGAAGCACCCACAGAAATAGCAAATCTTGTTTTGAGATGCAGTACCAACTATGTTCTACCTAAAATATAGGTAATAATTAAATTTCTTGTCACAATTGAGTTCTCAGCCAGCTTATGGTGTCCCGTTTGCAGGCAACTTTTAAGAAAGGTATATAAATATCAAAGATACTTCAAGCGAGAAAGGTGTTTCAGAAAACATCAGTTCATCAGAAAAGCCCGGTGGACTTTGGTTAATTATTTTATCAAAGCAACAGCTTCCCAACCTAGAAATATTCCAGTGTTTTCCATACACACTGAAAATAAAAGACCAGATGATCTTTAGCACAAATTATTTAAACTGAAAATTATGAAGTATATTAGGTAGAATAAAAAAAAAATACTGATGTTGACTACTAGTGAAGCTGTGAACTCTTCTTCATTTAAGCTTTCAAATAACAGATTAGACAACCATCTGCCAAGAGTGGTGTATGTATGTTTAGCCCTGCTTTCAGAGCAAAGGCAGACGAAGTCACATTTTACCATCTCCTTAAAGCTCTACATTCCTACGACTGCATCTAATGGTTTGTGGTTAATGTGTACAAAACAGGTCCTGTAAAAAATAATTTTATTTCGTACCCTGCTAATATCAAGGTTTATTATCTCTTGAGGTTGATCACATCTTAACTTTGATCAATAAATATCGATCCTCACAGACTACACTGGTATCTACTTATTAATGCTAATGTAAGTCTTACAAACATCTAATAGCTCAGATTTAATTTTCAGTTACATTAAACCAGATGAAATTAAGACTTCAGCCTGTTAGCAGAAGGCATTTTTAAAAAATTTACATTGTTTCAGTAAAACATTAAAATCACACTTCTGTGTGGTAATATCTGCTTTTTGTGTTGTGTAACACAGAGCATAGAAATCACAACATTAAATGTGCAATATTCACAAGTAGTATCTCCTGTGCATCCAGTATTACTGGACAACTTTATCTATTAGGAAAGACAGATTCTGTGTACACTACTAAAGGCATGACTTACATGATTATGCTTATACCAGAAATGGTTAGTTTGCCAGTGGTTTTGGTTGGGTTTTTTTGTTTGTTTGTTTTGTTTTTAATCATGAGCGAAAACAACAAGTAAGAAACATTCATCTGAACAGTTTATTAAATAAAAGAAAAAAATTAACATGCATTAAATGTACTCTTATTTGTTCCTATTGTGGAAAGTACACTAAAGGCAAACACTTATCTTTAACACTTATCTCAAACACTTACCTCTATTAAATGCTAGAACACCAACAGTAAATCACTTACCTGTCTCTTAAAAGTTTACAGTAGAGGTACAAGGGGACTGTAACAAACCTGAAATGGATGGCTGAGCCAACTTGCCAACAACGCCAGTGAGCATGGACTTGTACATACAAATAAAAGATGAACACACTGACAAGAAAGTAGCACAAAACCTTGTATTGAAGGAATGTCTATTTTACAGTTACCTAAAGTTTGGGCTTCCACAGACCACACACACATTAACGGAAACGCAGTGAAAAGCTTCAGAATGTAATGGATTTTTCAGTATACTAGAATGTCAGTAATTATACTACTTGTTTCATTTATATCCCTTTACTATGCAAAGAAGAGTTGTGTATCGGAAGCATGAAACTAAGAAGAAAAACACACAGGTAAAAATAAATACTCACCTTTCCAGTTGATCCAAATGCGAACAGGCCAAGGTCTTCGTAAGAAGTGACAGCTGTTAGTACGGAAAAAAAAAAGCTAAAATATTTCTGACTTCAAAATGACTTGAAAGCTCTAGCTTTGCCTTTTTTCCTTTTAAATGAACATAATTCAGGGCAGAATTTTATAGTATTTTTTTATATACATCTATACTGTTGCTACAAAATACAGCTATATGCTCAACTATTGAGACTCTCCAGAAACTCAATTTAATATTAAAAGAAGTAACATTTTAAAAATAGTAATAATACACTCATGGCAAATTGCTTTCTCCCAAAGATTTTTGCAAGTGATACTACAGGTGAAAAATTCTGAAATTAGCCTCACCAATTAGATATAAGATAGTCCCATATTTTATTGGTTAAAAGCGTACAGTTTTTTTTAAATGAAGACAACAACAGAGGATCCATTTGTATGTATATAAACACCAATCACCATCTTGCCAGCTTTTAAAAACTCAGCACTATTTATTTTCAAGAGAGCTGAAGGTAAACACCTTCCCCGGTTGAAAACTATCAATAAAACAACAAAAGAAAACACACCAAAGCAAAACCAAAAACAAAACAAAAATCCTGCCCTTACCTGCACCTGACTTACATAATCACATTAAAATAGCCTGTGGTTTCCTGTATGCTTTTGTTGAGTTTTAGCTGAAGCTCACTTCTAATATTGCTGGTAACTCAAACCAATCCCTTCTCAGAAAGAAGGAAGTCATATTAAAGTCTTTCATTGTTGCTCTGTATTTTGTTATTAGAAACTCAAGCGATATCAAAAAGATGAAAGTTGTCTGAGAAATACCACTCACTTTCTCGCTACAGAATAAAACAGTCTGCAGTTGTAAATGCCTCAAAGGGTAAAAATTAATCTCAAAGCCACATAATTGTATCGTCACAATACTTGCTTTCTCTTCCTTGGTTCCACTGGGTACACTGCTGCTTCTACTCCTGCCGCATCTTAATTTAGGGCCCAGCCCTGCAATTTGAGCTGCTAGGAGCAGACCTTCACACCTGAGTGAAGTTCAGATGAAATAAATGGAACAAGGCATAGGAGACACAGGCAGGGCACGGGGGTCCGGTGACAGGACTCGGGCCTCAGACCGCCGACTGCCCAAGCTTAGGCGCTTTTATTTCACAAAGTTCTGCACACAACCAGATCAATGCTCTGGGGCAGGGGAGGGGTGGGGTGGTGGAAATAAATTCATTTTCTCATGTAATTTTCTCAAGAGCAATGTTTCATATTCTGCTCTACTACTGACATCAGTATGCCATGACAAAATAAATGAAATGACAAAATTAAATGAGCCAGAGTCAGGTCTCAGCATAAACCTGGGCTAATCTTCATTACACTGATAAAAGTTATATAGAGATATAATTAAACATGAAGTATGTCTTAACAGATTTTAACCTGTATTTTTCTTAGATTTCTATATATAAAATCTTTTTGATCCCAAGAAATAAAAAGAGCATTTCAGAAGGTCATCTCCAATGGCATCAAATAAATCAGTAAAATGTTAAGCATATTCAGGAGAGAGTTGTTTTTACCACGTGGGAACAAATACACACACCACACACACGAGGAGTTACCAACACTGAGAAGAAGATTTTCCACACAATTCCAAAAGAGCCATGTAAAACATTAGAATATTCTCTGTAATAACTGTTTCTCTACTCAATTTAGTCCTGTGAACACTGGGAAGCCCTAATACTTAAACACAATACTTTTGTAATTTCAAGAATATATGGAGCAAAATATTAAGCAAAATTGGTATAAAGATAAAAAAATTCTGCCTGATTGGCTTGATTTCTATTACGTTATTAACACTAAATGGAAACTATCCATTTAAATGTAAAGTGAAATTAGCAAGTTTAGTATGAGCAATACTCATGACTAACTCATAAAATGAAAAGAAAAAAGGCCACAAAATTTCAAAGTACATCCCACTCACGTTCCCAATTCCTCTGCTTTACAGAGTAAGCTTAGCCTTTGTCAGCCCAAACCCCAAAACAATGCAGGTCACACTGAATTAACATTGTGAGAAAACACTGCCTAAACTAATCCAGATCTAACACCTGACACTTGGGAGTATTTTTTTTTTTTTTTATAAGCCTTTTGGTCTATGCAAATCATTGGAGTTTGACAGAGTCCAGACCAATATAAATTAAAAATTGATGACACTCCTTTATTTTTAAACTACAATTAAAATGCCTGTGCTTAATAAATTCTGGTTTTTCTTTAAAATGGAATATTAGAGCTTTCTTTTTAGGAGGCATTTTATAGGTCAGCTCCTTCCTAGGATTACTTTTATGATTTGAATACCCAAATAGTTTACAAACGCTTTCAAAGGTTTTTCTTCTTCACCCTTTAAATTTTTCTAGCTCATTTTTAATTTAAACTTAATACTATAACATTGTTCACAAATGCATGTAAGTTTTATAAAGAAAAACGTTCAATTATCTACTTCGGTAGCAAACGTGTACACAGATTTTACTTTGTCAAGGCACAAAAGATCATATTTCTCACTTTTTAAAGACAATGTTCCAAGTGAAAAAAACTCAGAATGCTATGTAACATTTAATTATTTCAGTAGTTTACAGGAAATATACTACATATAGTCTGAGAAATTGTATTTAAAAAAAAAAATTTAAAAAAAATCAAAACACAGAAGGCCATAAATCCAGCAAATTTATCTAGACATAGTTCTGGTGCTAGTATTATCTGTCAACACTACAGTAAATAATTAGTTATCACCTAAAGTGCTAGTTTCAGACAAGAGAAATGCTTCATCCTGTCATTTCAGTGGTATTCCCTGATTTTAGTTGTATTTAAAAAATGCTTTCTTGAGGTGGTGCCTTTGGACAGTAACTGAGGAGTTAAACCATTGTTGTATACTAGGTCTCCAAGTTTTAACATAGAAATTTTTTTTTACTTCAAAAAGCTTAAATCCTTAGTTTTTTTTTCTCACCAGTAGTTATTCTGCAAGGATCTCTTCTATTATTATTTTACGAGATAACAACATAATACCACTTAGTGCTTACATAATACAGAACTCCTCAGCCTCAAATACGAGGTAAACAGAGATCATCAAGAATTACCTCAAGTTTCCCCTTTTTTGTTTCTTATGTGTCTTTCTAGCCACTTACTTCAGGTTCCAATTCTTTTCTAATATGCAGAACTCCAAGAGGATAAAAAAATTACCAAAGGACTTTGCCCCAAATCATCAAGCAGCCAACAGTATCAACCATAAAAGTAACCCTACCTCTGAAGAATTTTTTTTAAGAATGTATGAAGATCAGTCAACAGGTGAAGACAGGAGCAGCAGATTTAAGAAGAATCAGGAAGCAATCATCTGAGAGACCAAAGCTAGCTATAGAAAACAAAGCCAGTAAGGAAAGAAACGGAAGCTTTCTCCCACCACCTTTGAAAAGAGAGGAAAACAGATGAGAGGGAAACAATAACCAGGTGACTGAAAGGGATGGAGCCCTCCTGCTATAACATGAACTCTGTGTACAAGAACTCAAGGAATAAGTCAGTTGTTTCAATAACAATTAAAAATAGCAAGAATAAAAACATTAGCAGATTTAACAGCAGATATTAGAATCTACTGCTTGAACATTCTCAAAGCAGTATAATTTCTAAGGGACTGCAAAGTGACTTCTCATTCAGTACCAAAAATGCTGTAAAAACCATGGCGTCTAAAGTGCTATGAGGATAATAATAATCCAGTATGATTATAAAACCTAAAAGGTATCCATTTCAAAACATAAGCAAAATATATATTACAAGTAGAAGAATGAAAGTCTGATATTTTATTGCTCTTAAGCTTTTACTGAAAGCAACAGTACACACTGAAGTAACACAGTTCAGCCAGCGCTAAAATAACTTTGCTACAGAAATACAGGAACTATCTTTTTGGAAAGAGGAAAGAGGCATTTTGAAAAAATTAAAACTGAAGATCTAGAAACCAGTCAATTTAGCATTGACTTTTCATTACAAGTTTCAAAATTGTACTTTTAAATGGCAAATAGTAATCGTTACAAATGTTAAATATTTCAACATCAGTGAATCAGACACGACTACCTGTTAACATGCTGTTATTTATAATAATTATACTGGGTCATATCTTTGTGATATAGGTGAAGAAGTATTTCAGAGATCACTGTTACAGAAATCCTTTTCACTTACCAGTCTGAGTGCACATACTGAGCAGAAGAAATACCGAGTAAGAAGCAAGGCTAGCAACAATCAGCAGCAAGAGACTAAAAAACACAAAATACACACAATTACAACACTTTTGCAGTACAATGCACTTTCTATCTTTAAGAACGCTACTGCTGCAAGAAGTAAGCTACCACAAGATCAGATTTCCTCATTTTATGGCTTATATCTGCTGACTGTGGTTCATACGGTCTCTGACATTCCCAATACATGCTAAGTTCCACTGCTTATTTTGTTCACCAAAGCTTATCACATATTATACAGAGTAAAGGCCTGATACATAAATTACAAAGAGGACAGAAGCGTAGGAGGTTGTGTTTATACATATACACAGACAAATACGTATCTTCTAATGAAGTGAATCTAATGCTTACAAAATGTTAAAAGCAAAAATTCTGGTGACTTTGGCCCTGTTATCCATAAGTTAGTACATGCAACAAGCAGAAGTGCAATCAAAAGCACAAGCTCATTCACATTTTTCAGCTATGTAGCCATCCTACTCCAGAAGGCCCGTTTCTGGAACTGAAGGAGATAGCAGCTTTGAAATGTAAACATCAATCTATTAGGAGTAATGGCCAAGAAATTGCCACCATGTGGCAATTTAATGCAACGTCTGGGTAGTACTTATGTTAGGCCAGATGTGAATGACTAAACCAAAGAGGGAATATCTTATTCAACAATGCTGAAACACACAAGCTGTTTATTTCTTCCTCAGTTCTTGCACAGGAGTCTTAGTAATCAAGTTCTGTTCCATTTAAAACTACCAGCCGAGTTTAAAAATAAGCATATGTAAAAACTGAAAGCTTACCTAAACCCCATGATCCCTGTGTTGGCCATAGCATAGGATAAGCCAAGTATCCCACTTCCCATGATCGCGTTCATTAAATTAAATACTGAGAAACCAAAGGAAGAGCCATGATTTGGAGGATTCTGTGAAAAGGGCAGAACAAAGTACAGTTAGTGAGAGACGTGTTTTGGCCTTTCATCTGAGTAAACCTAAGGGAGGTGGAGAGAATACAATCAACTTTTCCTTCCCTAATCTAAATCAGAAAATCTCTTTTCTCATTCTAAGGCCATGCAAACACCCATGCATGCACGCTAATGTGATGCTGTCCCACAAGGATCTCAAGACGTGTACAACCTCTGCGTAGAGCAATACTGAAGAGCAAGAAGAGCGTGGCAAGACCTAGGCTTAAAGCGGGCAATCCCTGCGCGCCCGCCGCAGGAGCGAGGGGCAGAGCCCCCGGCAGCACTTCCCAGCGTTCAGTCACCACAGAGCCGAAGGGCTCAGCAGCCGCGGCCAGAACCAGGCGTTCCGGCTCCCGGGCCCGGCGCTGCCCTCAGCCGGTGTCACCCCCCACGGGCCCGCCCTGCACAGCCCCCTCCGCCGCGGCCCTCCCGGGCGCCCCTTGCCGAACGCCAGCGCGGCCGGGAGCAGCCGTCCCCGCGGCCTCCCGCCCCGGGACCGCCCCAGCTCGGCGCAGGAAAGCCGAGCCGGCGCCCGCCGCGCCGCGCCGCGCCCCGCCAGCCCCCCGCGGCCGCAGCCCCCTCAGGAGCGCTCCGCTCCGCTCCGTTCCCCCGCCGCCCAACCGCCCCCCTCACACGCACGCTGCCCGGCGGCACCGCCAGCAACGGGGCGGACTCCCCGTCCTCGTCCGCCTCCCCTCGCTGCTGGCGGGCGGACAGGTACCAGCCCCGCTCGGCCAGGAGCCGCCCGGCCCCCCGCGGCGCCGCCGCCATGGCAGCCCGCGCCCCGCCGCCCCGGCTCTGAGGGCAGCGCCGCCGCCGGGAGGGGGGGGGCGGAGCCTCGGGCGGTGAGGGGGCGTGGCCTCCGCTCCAGCCCCCGCCCTCCCGCCCCCTCGGCGCGCCCACACGGAACGGCGCGGCGGTTGCGGCGTCACGCTGGCGGCGGTGACGTGCGAGGGCCGCGCGTGAGGGGCTCGGCATGAGGTGAGGGCGGCGGGCGGGGAGGGGGGGCGGTAACCATGGCAACGGTGCGGCGCTTCCCCCCCCCCCCCCCCGTCTGCGGCCTGCGACCTGAGGGGGGACCCGCGGCCTCCCCGGACCCCGCGGCGGCGGCTGCCCGCGGGGCTCCCCTCGGGGAGGGGCGGTGACCCCCGACAGAGCGGCCCCCGGCCCTGGCGAGGGTCCTTTCCCCTGGATGAGGCCTGCCCGGCGCCTCCCCGCCCCTGGGGGAGCTCGGGCCGCCCGGCCCCGGTTCACCTCCTCCCTCTGAGGGAAGAGGGGGGCAAACGGGGATCTCGGCGGGCCCTCGGTGACGGGGGAGCTCCCCACAGGCAGTGCTGGGAAGATGTTGTTCTTCTTGCGACCGCTCGGCTGCAGGGACCTCCAACCAGACCCAGCGGGGGGGCTTTTATCTTGCACAGCGAGGAGCCCACGCGCGCCAGGCCAGCAGCTTCCAGCCAGGGAGAAGGGGAATGCCTCAGAAAAACACTGGGATGCTCAGGCGCTGGATGAAGTCTTTCTCCGCTGTAGCAGATGTGAAGAATGTAAATGTTTATTTTTGAGTCAACAGGGAAAGGAGGTGTGCTTTGCCAAAAACTTGGTTTAGGGAAATGAGCTGGCTTGGAGATGTAGGGAGTCCCAGCGAGGAGCTGGGATCTGGGTGGGAGGGAGGATGGGAGCAGGGCCAGCCCTGCTAAGGGTCAGGCACAGTTCCTTTTTTGAAGGAGACCAGGAGGGCAGCAGCCCTGTGCGGTGGTGTGTAGGTGTCAGAGGCAGGCATGAGAAATGGTTTCCTTCCAGAGCTGGTTTGCATCTCTCCTATCAACCCCCAACCTTAAAACAAACTTCCCAAGAAGTCGGGAGAAATGTCAGCCTCACACACTGCCTAAATCATTGGTTCCTGCCTAGGAGCACCTGATGCAGAGTCAGAAAAGCTGGGCCCCTTTCGACTGACTCTAGTGGAGGCAACTATTTCAAGAAGCGTAAAGCTGCTTTTCAAGTCCCCATCCTGTGAATGAACTATGGAGAGGGGTTCAGTCACTTGAATAGGCATTACTAATGCTTCCCTGTATCTTTAGGGGAATTCTGCATTTAACTCATGGTCTTTCTGGCATGTAGCTCGTGAAGCAGACGCCATGGAGCGTGTAACCCCTTACCACTGGGGTACAGAAGGCAGAAATTGCTGAAGAGTGATTATGACCACAACTGCTAATAACTGTTTTCTAGCAACTACTGCTCACTAATGAATTTTATCAGAGACAGAAGGGATCCCACAGGAGCATCAGGACAGTAGAAAGTTTTCCATTTGGCTTACTGCGTTTAATATCACATTTATTAGAACAAAGAGAGGTCATTGATTTTTGGCAGGAGGGGATTATCTCACTGCCTAAAGTTAAAGTCTGAAAATACATTTGCAAAAGGACAGAAATTTGTCCTAAATAATTCATAATAGAGAGCTTTACTAAACTATTGTGGATTGTTTGGTACAGATGGAAATTCTAGCTTAAGAGAACATCAAATCCATGTGATTTGCAACCTTTTTAATGGAATGATTGCATAATGTCTATAAAATGAATAATTTCTCTTCTAGGACTTTATGGAGATTTGGATACTCTGCCAGACTACTGAAAACTAACCGTTTTAGGACAGCTGCATCAAATACATCATTTCCAGCAGTTTGGATGCTATTGGTGCAATATTCTGGCAGAACACCTGGGCTGTTTGTAGCAGTTAAAAAAAACAGCTTTTTTACAATGCCTGAAACTGTGGAGGATAAAGCTAATCTAGAACTGTATTTGCCGCATCCTGAAGTGCGTGGGATGACACAACTCAACAGAGAAGTGTTTAAAAGGACAGTTGTTGTTCCTGTTCTTAGAGTCAAGAAAGAAATTATAAATACTTTGCTGAAGTCCCTCAAACACGTGGTACTGCAGCGTCCTGGTCTAAAGCGAGTGGTTGAGGATCCAGAAGATGAGGACAGTAGACTTGTTATTCTGGATCCTCATAAAATACCGGAATTCTCATTGGGAGAATCGGAGCAAGAAGTATTGAAACAGCTTAGTGTTCGTCCTGAGGTGTCCAAGTATAACTTGGAGCTGACCTATGAGAATTTCAAGTCAGAGGAGATCCTCCGAGCAGTCCTGCCTGAAGGTCAGGAAGTCACCTCTGGATTTAGCCGTGTTGGTCACATAGCTCATATGAATCTTAGAGATCATCAGCTACCATACAGACATTTGATTGGTAGGTAAAACAACTCAAAAAAGTAATTAATATATTTTTTATATCACTAAAAAGATTTTTAAGCAATTATTCTACTGGTAAATTATTACTTGTGCAAGGAAGACTTTTGAGCGCTTTTCATTGCTCTATATTTTGACTTTAAACAGCTGTGTGTTGATGCTGTAGCTGTGCACACAAGCCCAGATCTCTCACAGTAACTGTGGTCTCACCTCACTGAGCATTGGGTCAGGGTAAAGTATGTGCCTTAGGAAGATGTCACATCTGCAACCCTGAATCATTAGAGGAAGGTTGTTCTACAATCTTACTTTTGTTACTTTAACTGTAAACAGCAGTGTTTGTATCTCTTGTAGAACATTAAAAAGTTGTAGTTCCTTAACCGGAATATCTTTCGCCCTCTCTTTCAGGCCAGGTTATAATTGACAAGAATCCAGGAATCACCTGTGCAGTGAATAAAACCAATATTATTGACAGCACATACAGGAATTTTCAAATGGAAGTGCTCGCCGGAGAGAGCAACCTAGTAACCAAGGTACAGGGTTTTTTTCTCCTGTTATTTTAAATTTAATATGCTAAAACCCAAAGGCATCTACTGGAGAGATGTGCTGAAGCGATGCTGTTAAGACCACTGCTTTGCACAGTGCCCTTTCCTGACCCTCCTTTTAGAGTGTGAGAGTTGGCAGTTATTTCTACGTTCATTTGTCCTGGTCTGCCAAGAGCAAACTGACATCCAAAGGGATCATGAACACAAGTATTCTTTCAAGTTCACAGCCTAGATTTTAATGATACGTAAAAGCAGATGAAGTAAAGGTTTCTTAGAGAGATACTAATTACAAACTTGGGGGGGGGGTTGTCCTCACTCTAAAGCCAGAATATTTAGTGGATTTGATCTAAGAAAATGCTGGTTCTTAATTTCACCAAGCCTTGTACAGTGGCTGGTATAGAACATAAGACTGGGTCTTAAAATCTCACTGGCTTTGCAACTTAGGGAAGATTTTGCTTATGCCTTTTTCCTTTTTTGTCAGCAGCAAGACAAACCTCATCTCTCCTCTGTTTTGACATTTTTCAGGTATAAAGCACTATGCAACTGCCAAGTATTATTCATATAGGGTTTCTTGTCTTCAGCTGGAAACTTGGCCACTGATTTGACCAAAAAATATTTTTCCTAGCTGTTAGCAGTTTTATACTTTTAGAAGAGAAAACTTCAGATTACCAAATAAAAAAGTTGAATAGCTTGGTATAACATCCTGTACATGCACAGAGAAGGCATTTGAATTGTGAAGGCAGAAGTGACAATCAAGTATTATGCAGATGGCATTAGCTCATTGAGCATACATCTAGCATACCGCTGAGCTGCACACTGAGCAGCGCGGATACGCTTCACTGTGTTTCTTGCTGGCAAAGCAAATGATGCAGTGATTTGGATCCAAAGTTGCTTTACTTCAGAGTCCCACAATTCAAGGTGCAAAGTATTACCTTGCATCCCATTCTTGTCTGAATAAATACTGTTTCTTTTTAGGTCTGTTCTTAAGATAGTGGTCATCCCAAGGTTTAGGTTTGGATCAGTTTCCAGACTCTGTCACCTTCAGAGAGAAAATACAGTATTTTTTTTCAAACTGCAGAATTGGCTCCCAGTGGCTCTGAATTTGGCTGACTGTTGCCATTCGTGTGCTGTATCATTCTCAGACACTTATTTACTATGTGGACTCTGCTAAGAGGGGCTTGAGGCATCTTCCCAAGGTCTGCTTTCAATAAAGCAGTTGTCAGCCAGCCACAGAGCTCTTGAAAAGCCTCAGATTACTTTTTTTTATGGTCATTTTAAGTTGCTGCGTTATTTCCACCTGGAGATTGAGACATGCATAAGCCAGCCATCTGGATTGACAGTTGGAACATTCCTTATGGCTATTTCTGATGAGTAGATCTGTTTATACAAGATTCATGTGTATTACTAATGGGACAAATGTCAGTGTATGCATTACCTTTTGACAGAGCACCTTGTTTTTTAGCTGTCTTAATTACTGATAATGCTTAAACATCCCTGGAATTTGAGCGCAGAGGCTTAAGAAAATGTCTTGGACTTTCAGGTCAAAGAAAACAATATTGCATATGAATTGGACTTTTCTAAAGTCTACTGGAACCCACGTCTTTCCACAGAACATGGCCGTATCGTTGAGCTTCTAAAGCCCAGTGATGTCCTTTTCGATGTCTTTGCTGGGATTGGACCTTTTGCTATTCCAGCAGCAAAGAAAAAGTGCCGCGTATTTGCGAACGATCTCAACCCTGACTCCTACAGCTGGCTCCTGCACAACTGCAAACTAAACAAAGTAGACACCAAAATAAAAGCGTTCAACATGGATGGCAGGGATTTCCTCCTGGGGCCAGTAAGAGAAGAACTAAGTAAAGAGCTCCCACTTCTGAAAGAAGAACAGAAACCCTCTTTTCATATTGTCATGAATTTACCAGCTTTGGCTATTGAATTTCTAGACGTTTTCAGGCATCTCTTAGCCGGAGAGCCAGGCAGCACTGCCGGCCTCCCCACGGTGCACTGCTACAGTTTCTCCAAACACGACGACCCCGCCAAAGATGTTCAGGAACGAGCTGAAGCTTCACTGGGAACCTCCTTGGCTGGCCGCTGCTCCACGTACCTGGTTAGAAACGTTGCGCCGAACAAGGAGATGCTGTGCATTAGTTTCCAGGTTCCAGCAGACGTGCTGTACAAGAGGCCCTGCCCGGACGGAGGTAAGGAACGCGCCTCCTGCGCGCCACTCAGATTTCGGGCTGCACCTTTCGCTGCCCCGGGCCGGCCCGGCGCTGCCAGCGCGACGTGGCAGCGGTGCTGCGCTGCGGACGAGCGGGAGCGAGCGCCTGCACGTGCGCAGCAGCTGCCGGGCTTCCTGCGCCCTGCCCGCTCCTCTGATCCCAGCGTGAGCCTCCGCGGGAAAAACGGGGGACTGGAGAGGATCATCCTGCAGGCCATAAACCAGACCCTTATGCTTTAGATCGCGTGCCGGGGGAGGATGGGGCGTCAAGGCCCAGCACACATTTCTGTTAGATAAATACTTGAAAACTGGAGCGTCATTTTCACCCGAGGTAGGCTGGCGTACTTCCAAGGGCCTGGTCCCAGCTCTGACCTTCGCCCTTACGCTTGCACAGACGCAGTTTAGGTCTGGTGTCACTACAGCAGCAGAATCAGGTTCTGTACAATTTAATGGAGAAATAGGTATCCTTACAGATCTTTAATGTTGAAGTTGATTTTTTTTTTTTTTTTTTAAATATAATTGATCATCTGTTTCCTGAAGTACTTGTAGAAGCAGGTTGGTTTCAGTGATCTTGGGCTTTGCACTACATGACAAGGGGGGAGAGGGGGGAGAATTCCAGTCTGCAGTTACCTGAACTGGGGGAAGGGAGGTTTTGATAAAGCTTTAATGCCATGAAACATATTTTTACGCTGTTGCTGGGTAGCACATTTAGGTCAAAATGTAGCTCAGTATAGGTTTTTTAAAAGTCCTTTTCAGCATTTAGTAAAGACCTCCAATTATTGTTCTAACAGTTTTCATTTGTGACTGTTAATCCTGATTTTAACTCTCATCTTTTCCTGTTAAATCCCTTAAGTGTTACATGGCTTGTGGTTTAGTTCAATCTGTTTACTGTACCTTAAATAACTTGCTTTTTCTAACCTTCCAGCAATACCAGCCTCTAAACGTCTGTGTAGCACCAAAGATTATTCTGAAGAAAAGTTGAAGAAAAGTTGAAGACCAGAGTTGCGGTAACTACCTTAGTAGTTTGTGTAAGGTATACTTAGGTTACCTTTGGTTTATCCCTTGAATTATTTGAAGCATTCGTGTGTTGTCCATCCCAAGTGCCAAGATGCATAAAGCCTGTTGCAGCTTTCCTTTCTGAGCCTTACTTCCTGCATTTACCTTTTTTTAATTGTGGGATCAATAAACAGATTGAAAATGTTCTTATTACAAAAAAATAAACCGCTTTTTTGTAATAAATGTGTTAGTACTTTTCAGATGTTTTGGTACTTTTGTCTGTTGTTTCATGCCCTGTGATAATTCAGTAACACAGACTGGGGTAGTTTTGTGCGGTCTCATTTGGGTAATGTGCAGTTTGTGGCAGAAACAGATCTCTCATTTTGTCAGGTCTAGCGAGATGAGTTGTATAACCCTTGCATTGGGTTCTCTCTGAAAAATGGTTTTAGTGTTTAAGAATATTGGATTACTGTTAGCAGATGCACAAACAGCTCTTGTGTAAGCAAGACAACCTTTCAGAAACTTAACCCGAGATACAAAAAGGCTCAAGTAACCATAGATACTTGTTCCTAGGCTTCTGAGTAATAAACACTTTTTAACACTGAGATTTAGTTAGGGATTAGCTGACTCCTAATTTAGTGCCTGCCCACCATTAAAGCAGGAAAGACTAGTGCCATTTGCGCAGTTGTAGATTCAGCACACGCTTGTATTGAAGCTCTAGCCTGGAACCAGTACCTGGCTGAACAGTCCTCTCGTCTTGAAACCGCATCCTCCTGGGGCTTTTGTGCCCCCACTGGCTCCCAGCTCTGCCCCTGCCTCCCCGCCTGCTGCTCTGGCCCTGGATGATCCCTCTGGCTGCCTGTATTCTGCAGGGATTCCAAAACCCTCTGCCTTTGATTTCCTTTTCTTACCCATCCAAACTATTGTTGGGCAACGTCGACCACAAATAGTTTATTTGGACAGAGAACTTGGATCACCCCCTTGGTTTCTGAGATTTTTCCTTCAGTCCCGGCTGGGCGCTCACGCCTAGCTGCGCTGTCACCAGACGGCCCTCGCCCTCCCTGGCTCTGCTGCCGCGGCTGCCTCCCCGGGGCCTGCAACCTGATGTCTTGGGCCTCACCCAAACAACCGCCGAGGCTCGTGGATTTGTTTTGCTCCATGTTACGGCCTTTCCCTTGGCTACACAGCCCGTTCTTGCGAGCAAGCCTTCACAGCTTGGTTACTGCTGGATTGCTTTTATCAAACCAGGGGAGAAAAATCATTATGACTCCCTTGCACTATCTGGAAAGCTGTTGCACAGATCACCTCCCCGGCCCGCCGCTCCAGCCTGAGCATTTCTCCACTGGCCTCTAAAGCGGTGTCACAGCAGCTCTAGCCTGTTTGTCCTGGCTGTCCGTGGCCGGCACATCGCGCCCTCTCCCTACCAGTCACCGCTCCTCTGAGCGCAAGCGCCGGCCTCGTGCCCCCAGCCCGCGATGCCACCTCTGCTGTCTGTCACCACGGCATCCCTTCCTCCTGCTGCGTTCCCCAGGAATACCGGGAAGCTGCTCCTGTTCTGCAGAGCCCTCCCTAAACGCTGCTGTCGCGACAAGGCCCTCGGCCGTTCTGACAGGGCAGTCACCCCACGACGGGTGTGAACGTGCCCGTCCGTACGGCTGGGGACCACAGATCCCTCTGACGGCGCGTTGCCTCTCAGTCCGAGTTTAGGGCTCCTTGGCGCTACCGCACTCGCAGAAACCCGGCTTCGATCGCCGTTTTTGTGTTCAGCAAGTCAACTACCTAACTCTGATTTTCAGCATGTGACTAAAGTATCCCAGGGCAGGGAAGGATTTTAGCTCTTACAGCTTTTGTTCACTTGAGGATTCCATGCCATTGTTGTTTTAGCATCACTTTAAATGCAAGTCGATTAATTATATGTAGCTATACTCGTAACCAGGGGTTTTTCCATATTTCTGTGCAGTTGCCACTTCTGTGTCTAACCCTCCCACATGAAATAGCAAACAACAGCAAACGTACACACAAGTTGCATGAGCGCATGTACATGATACATATTAATACACACATGCAGTTCTGCATTCATGAGGGCAATGACCTGAGGCTTTATGTACTCAATGTAAAGCAGATCATCGGAGAGGTGTCTCTTTACCAGCCCGGGTGAGCCCGGAGTAGTACAGCCTCCCCTCCCCAGTTGCTGCTACTCCCTCCCAGGGTCCAGAGCTGAACCCCAGGAGGACCGCTGCTATCTTCTGTCTGGGAGCAGGAGACAGGCTGTCGGGCATCTGTGACAGAGGGAGCGAACTCCCACAGCTCCTGGCTGCTAGAATAACCATCAGCTAGGCCCAGCGTTGGTGGCAGCCAACTACCACGAGCAAGGGAATGGAAAAATAAAGGACGCGTCAACTTTTAAGCCTTACAGAGGTTTAAAGGGGAGAGGAGGAAGGACCCCGGGTGGAACGCAGCACTGGTCTCGGGGCCAGACTACACCACGAGTTCAAGGGCACGAGTGGGCTCTCCCACGCCGCCTGGCTGAGCCCCACAACGCCCCCCCAGAGGTTTTCTGGCAAAGGCCGGGACCTGCCCCTGGCAGGGAGCAGGACTCCGCGGACTGTGAGCTTTGCTACACCTCGGCCTCGTGTGTAATGTTACCTGTCGGCAACTATTCTGGGCACAGACAATGGACTTTTTGGCACCTTCCTCCCCTTTCCTTTATAAAGCAAGCACCAAGTCTGGAATAGAGCTTATTCTTCTCTTTACTACAACATAGAAAAAATACCTTCATTTAGTACGCTCCAGAGCAGTGTTCAACAACTATTAACAGATGACCCATAAAACGTGGTCCAGGCTTTACTCTAGAGGCTCTCACTGTCCTGAGCAGTTTCCAGTCTCCTGCAGTTTATACACACTCGTGGCAAAGACCAGTCACGCCACAGAGGCCCATCTCTGCTGCAATTAGTCTACGCTCCACTACAAGAAGAGGGGAAGGAATACGTTAAAGTAGCAGATCAAGTGGCAAGGGTCATCCCTAAAGCCAGACAAAAGGATGTTCTTACTAAAAGAAGCTCCTGAACAAGTGACAAAGAAGTTGCAAACAGAGCTAGACAGGAAAAAAACAAATTTTGACTACTTGAATGACCCAGCCTTGTATTGAGGCTTCTTAGATTGCTTCTAGAGGAACTCAGTCAAAAAACTTTCAGCTAAAGATTTGTTTTCCAGACAAAGGTAAGAACCAAGTGACATCAGGAAGGATTCTGCATAAGAGTTGTGTCAGCATAGTTCCAGAGTTTCTCATCCAGCTGGCAGGAGGAAAAACCCACTTGTCTGAACTGGGGAAACTAGTTTTATGGGAAGAAAATGTAGGCTTGAATATTGACACTAAATGTTATAATCAAAATGGCATTTAAATGCTTGTGCAAATAAAACCCTGCAATAAGAGTAAAACCACAAACTTTAATAAAAAAGTCTGGCTTTATTTAAAAAAAATTTACAAGTGTATTTCTTTAAACCTCAAACATACACAGCTGAGTTATTCACATCTTCCATTAGATGTGGCTTATTGCTTCAGCCTCCCTCAGCAAAGTGCCACATGACTAACAAGTTTCCCCCTCCACAAAAATGTATCTACCATTTTACAAAGCTCTCGTGCAGATGTGGTTTTTTTGGTTGGTTGATTTTTTTTTTTTTATTCAACACTTAAACACACCTGGTTTTACACAGAAAAGTGACTGCAGCTTAGCTGTTGTACAGATGGCAGCAGTTTTACCCAACCTTTGCCAGCTTGATTCGCTTCTCGCTCCGCTCGGTGTCCCTTGATCACAGGCCGATGCACGCTGGCTAACTGGGGTGCCAGAAGAGACCACTGAAAGCATCCTGTAAGGCTCGGTAACAAGCAAGAGCAGAAGTGTAGCCTCCAGCGATATCCTGCACAGAGGCAGCTCGTACGTGTTTGAGATACCTAGAACAAAGACAGGCGTTCTTTTAGCGCAGAAATAAACACGTCAAACACCTGCGCAGTTGACAGTACAGTGAAGTTGAAGCTGCTTTTTGGGAGCAAGCAAGGAGACACAGGCCGCCTGCTGCCACCGATGAACATGTCAGTATAAAAACTTCCATCAGCTGAAACAATGCCGGTGCTGCTGCACCTCCAGCCACGCTGCCCTGCCAGCCCACCGAAAAACCTTGGCTCTTCGCAACAGGCTGCACAGGGTTAAGGACACCCCCTGGTTTGGGTGCTCTGTGCTCGCGCTGGGGCGGGGGTTGCATTCTCCCCCCCTTCAGTAGCTCCTTCTAAGACAACGAGGACAACCCAGGCCTTCCTCACTCCCCCGGGAACCGGGGGGGCTCGGCTCTGCCCAGGTAACTGGGCGCTCCCAAGAGCCGGCTCTGCCAGCTGCTCTGCTGACGGTGGGGCTGACCTTCCCGCTCCTGGGTCTGTCTGTATCTGGAGTAAGTCCACTGACGCTGGGGAATTAGATCCATGGGAGCCCGGCATCAACATTCTGGCTAAAGAAGCCTCTAAACTTCACCATTAATTAACCGCCACCACCCATCTGCGGAGCCATCTGACTTTACACCAAACCAGCCAGACCGACGAGCCGACGTTGAACCAGCTGCCCACGCTGGCACTGCCGCAAGCTCCTGGCTTGTGGCTCCTGGCTGCCCTCGGCTCCTTCTGAAGGCTCAAACCCAGCCGTGCACGCCGAGAAATCCCATTAAAGGTGCCTGCTCAGGGGGCCTGAATGGCTTCATTCAATGCTGTAACCCTGTAGCTCCTGCACCACACGTAGGGCAGATGCAAGCCCGGACCCTCAGCTACTTTTGCACCAAAACCCCATCAAACGCAGACGCAGGCTGCGGGCTAGCCCGCTCAGCACAGCGACCGTCTCAAACGCTGAACACCAGATAAAATACCATCAATGAGAGCTGCTTTTCACAGTGGCTGTGTAAGCCACGGAGCTTCAGCTAGCTGTTTTGATTCATCACTTGGTACATGTTGCTCCTGGGAAGGTTGAGTCATTCCACCTCTGGCTTGGCAATTCAAGCATAAACTTGCAAAACGCATACAGCCTTTTATAATGTTATCCCGAGAAACCTAAAACAGCTGCACTTTTGGCAGGAAAATACAGGACCACCAGTAAAATATCCAAAACAGTTGCATCTTTTAATTTATGACTGTACACTGTTTCCATAAAGAGTATATAAAACAGGTCAGATTTTATAGGTAAGACATAATAAATAGTCATACCCCTTGATGCCATAAACGTGTAGAAAAAGAGGTTACTTAGAAATGATTAATTACAGTTTTAAAACTGTATTTCTTGCACCTAATAACCACAATGCACAGACATGAGCAACATTTCTGAGTGATTGTTGGTGAGATGCTGAAGCTGAGAGGCTGAATTTGCCTCCTGGGGCCACGCTGAGGTGAGCTCTGCCGCTTTGTACCACCTCGTGATGGAGTCTGGTCCCCACTGCCGGGCACTGGTTCCCATCAGCACAGGCAAAGGCATGAGGGCACAAACCCTTTTAATAGTCTTTAGTCCAAAGGGAATCTATAAACACAGCAGCAAAGCCTGTCCTGTCTCTTAATTTGCAAGGGAAGATGATCTGCAGAGAGCTCTTGTTTTGTGGGAGAGTGCATTTAATAGATTTTTAATTTATTTTCTTTTTTTTTTTTTTAAACATTCTTGTTACTTGTGCCTTAATGTTTTAGGAGGAAAATCTCATCCTTCCCAAAGGCCCTTTACAACTGCTGTGGGAAACAGGAACTTCTTCCCCCAGCCAGGAATGAAGAAGGGATACTGACAACAAATAATTTCCTTCAAAACAGCAGTGTGAAACTACTTCCACCCTCCAAACTGAAGAGTCTTATAAAAACCAATTCCCATCTCAGATTTCACCTCTATCGTGTTTATCTCATCGCACAAAGTTTATTTTCCACTCATGCATGGAACAGTCCAGAGAAAACGGGGGATTACTTTACATTTCTATATTAACAAAGGTTGGTTGTGTGTTCTTCATTACTTACCTTTTGTTACTTACACATCACTAAAGGGACAGAGGCAGAGTCCATGTTTTCCCTTTTTTCAGGTCATCTGAAGTTGGGGCATTAGTTTCATAAGCAGGCCTGATTAACAGCTATTACAGCATTTATAGTTAATTGCTATGTGATCTCTGAAGCAATACAAAATCATTGCCAAAAAGGCTCAGATCAACTTTTACTACAGCAACCTGCATTAATTCTCCTTGCTCCTGTGAAACAAGCACGACATGCTGCTGGCTGTCAAGTGAGGTCTTTATTTTCTTGTTAAGTATCTAAACTTACTGCTCTTGACCCATTTCATTACTGTGGTACACCAGGCAATTCCAAAGAATCTGCCACGCTGAAGCCACACAATGAGAAGCGAATGTTTCGCCGGCTTTTCCACACCGATCCCCATCTGTGCTGCCTGAATCCGGCCGTGCCCTTCGCAGGAGAATCTCTCTGAACTGGATTCCTGGGGTTTTTGGCAGAGGTCAGCACATCTTTTCATGTACACCTTTACAACAGCAGCAGGAAGAAGCGCTTGCCAAGTTTTATTTCCAAAAAGTCAAGCTCCGTTAGGTCTTGGGACCTGGAGGTAATTGCTCTCACTAGTTAGCAAATTCCAGCACACTAGGTCTGTTTTTCATAGGTTTATTTTAAGTACCTGTAAATCTTATAAGCAGAAACCAGGAAAAAGAGGTTTGCTTTTTTTTGGTGCACAGTTTTTTAATGTAACTTGTTTTTACTGAGGGTAGACTAAAGTTAAAAAAAAGCCTGCACTATTATTTTTAAGCAGGGCTAAAGGGCCGTGTGTTCTCTGCCCCACGGTTTCACACTTCCCATTCACTGTAATGCCTACGCTTTGCTTCAGGCTCTGCCCAAACAAGTCCCCTTTCCTTAGCTGCAGCCATTGGATGTTGATCTTCCCCATTAACCTTTCACGTCAGTTAAAACACATCGTATTTTGTTCTTCATGAGCCTTCAGGGGACTCATTCCTGACCTTTAGTTTCTCATCACCATGCGCAAAAAAAAAAAAAAAAAAAAAAAAAAGCCTCCTGTTTTCAAGGAAAGAGGTGTAATTCACACTCGGTGCAGAGGCTCAGAATCAAGATGGTCATTCCTGGGGGTGGGTTTCCTTCGTGTTTTCTCTTTTCCAAAGGCCGTGTCACCATCCCTGCATTGGGAACGACTGGGACGGCTGGAGGACCGCGCAGCAGCACTGGGCGCGGCAGCGGGCGCCATCGCCCCGTGCCGCCCGCAGCCCCCGCACCGCTTGGCATCGCGGTTTGAGAGCCGGGACACAAACACCCGCTCGTCAGGCGGTGACACCCGAGACCTCTGGCAAACGGCCCCTCACTGCCCGGAAGGACGGTCTCCTTTCAGAGAGGTTCAGCAAAGACTTCAGAACCCATCAGAGAGGATGGAGAAACAGCACAATGAAACCAGGGTAAAAAAAACTAGCCAAAGAAACGAACCAAAAAAATCCAAAAGTAGAACATCCAACCAACAAGACAAAAAAAAAAAAAAAAAAACAACCTCAGTCCTTCCCTCTATCCACCCAACTGAGCGTATCCGTGCTTTGGATTATTTCACATAATCTTCCCACGTCTACCCAAGATAAATGCACTCCCACTGGTATTTCTGCAGATGCATCATTGGAGGTACATGTGGAATACTGTGTGTTTGGCATACAGATTTTACTTTTTTTGATCTATTAGGTATTTTATGGGGGTGAAGAAAAGAAAAATCATTCACGAGTTGTTTGACAGAAAAAAAAAAATAAAAAGATAATGTAGTTCTATTCCACAGAATAGATTTACTGCTCATCTGATTATCTGCAGTATCCAAGACAGAAAGTAATGGGGCAGACATTAGATCTGGGAAATTTTCCAGATTCATCATTTAAATAATAAATAGTGGTTGCATGAAAGCAAGCAAAATACTCCAGCCTGGAAAATTGTGTAAAGCATTAGTAACGCAGTAGCATACGCTCCATTCCTGAACCTTTCTGGAGACAATATTTTCATCAGATTTACCAAGTCTCTAAGATGAGATATCGATGCATTATTCGGAATATCACTGTAGAGACTGGCAAATGAGAGAGGCACGCAAGAAACTGGATTTTCTCTGGCCTGTTTTTTGTTGAGAAATGTGTAGCCTGGGTTACTCTATAGCCCCTGAGCAGGTAAAAAGAGCTCCTCCAAGCAACTGTGGTTTTGCTTGAACCAGTTCTACCACACAGTCAGTCCATGCAGCCAAAGCAGAATTTGCTTATAAAATAAGTTGAGTTTGTTGCTGTTTTTCATTAAATAGCCCTGGGAAATTCATTTAGGAATAGGTCTTCCCTAGGTATTAGTCAGAAACGGTGTGGCTCTCCCCTTTCAGAGACTGTAACATCTAAGCTAGGACAAAAACACCACACACCGAAAGCTGGTAATCAAACAAGTCATCCAGAATAGCAATTCATCCCTCCACAGACTAGCTACAAGCCTGATCCCAGGTCCTCAAAAGCCAAAAAGCAATCTTTCATCTATTTTAGCAGACACTCTTTGAGCACTATCATCGTATTCAGATCTTAACAAACACACCAGATATTACTGGTGTCAGAAATTCCTGCTGAACACCAGCCAGCACAGCCTGTTCCAACATATAATACAACTTTAACAGAACCATGAACTCGACAAAGGCTCCCCACGAGCCAAGCTCCATACCTCCCGCAGGCCTTGTGCCATGCCCAAGGTCACGCTTCCAGCCCTGACGGCAGCGAGGCTCCTACCATCACCCCTCCAGGGCAAGAAGAACTAAATGGCAGAAATAAATCCATTTAATAGCGGAATGGGAAAAATGCTCTCTGGAAAGTAATAGGTCCATGGCTGCCTCAAGGAATGAAGACCATCATTCGGTTGATAAATACAGCGTAACAGTTTTA